AAAAAAAAAAAAAAAAAATTGTGGTTCCTTTTTATATAGATACTTCACTGATTCATAGAAAATGTAGAATTTTCCACCCACCACAAATATGCATGATTCACCCTGGATAATCAAATATTTATGACAATAAATATTTGTCATACAGCTTTAGTATTTTATCTAATATGTAATTCATTGTAAGAAGCACCTTATTACATGGACTACCAAGAAAGAAAAAGTGCTGCCAACTAAACCATGATGTGTAGATTATAACATGTACCCCAATGTCAGAGATGCCAAAATGTGAAAAGTCCATCAATTTTGTCAGTGAAATAAGATGATACTTTAACTAGGCATATAGGACCAGAAAGGAGGAATACCCAGCACTTCTAGATATGTCAGGGAAGACTTTCAGCAAAGAAGATATTTTTGTTCAGACTTGAAAAGGAACAAGGGTGATAATGATGACATTGATAATGATAGCTAATATTTACTGAGTGAGTCTATATACTAGATATGGTAGAACACAGATCACCTTTTGACTTAGTCTTCATGATAACCTTTATCATCCTATTGTACAGATTAGGAAATTGAGGATTAGAAATTCTCAGCAGACAGGTTACAAAGGGCATTCCAGGAGGAGAAAAAACATTGCAAACCTCAGAAGGATGAAAGACAGGATGTGTTTGGGGAATGGCAAGGGAGTTGGTATGGCTACATCACAGCAAGGGACTTGGTATGCTACATCACAGGCCATATGAGAAAACACAAGACCAAAAAAGTAGATGAGTCACAATGTGACTTGTTAAAGAATCTGAACTTAGTCTTATAGACAACAGATAATATTGAAAAGTAGTGTCTACAGGATTAACATGATCACATCGGGTTGGTTTGGTTTGTGCAATTTTTTTTATTTTAGAGGAATTACTCTGCTCTTTGTTGCTGCTAAGAAACACATTATAACTACCAGGAATATAAAAAGAGTTGAATGAGTAAGAGACTAGTAAACAACTGGAGCAAAAGCAATGACAGTAAAAATAAGAAAGAAAGGGATATAGTTGTATATAGTCACAGGTTGTTTAGGTGTTACAAGACAAGATAATTGATTGAAATGAAACAGAGGAGAAATAATAACTCTTTTTTCTTGCTTGGATAACTGGCTGGATTACTGATGAACAAGGCTAGGTTTGGGGTAGAAGACAGTGAAGAAAACTTCAGACACGTTAACTTTGATGTACACATGAGACACACAGGTAGCGACGCAGACCTCATGGGAGAGAGCTGGGTGAGACTTTAGACAGTAGTAGTTTAAGTCACAGGAATGAATGAGATAGCCCAAAAAAAGGGTATAGAATGAGAATGTTCCTGAAATATCAGAGTATCCGAGCATGGGGTATGATATAATAACCATAATTGAGAAAGGATACTTCTATTCTTCTATAATACAGCTTATACAGAGTATTGGGCAAGAAAGCTAGTTGTCTACAAGGGTCTTATCACTCATAAGTCTTAAGCAACTGTGTTCCTTATGTCTGAGGAGTCACATGTGCTATGACTCAGGATTATTTTTACATAAAATGCAATTCAGTTCTTCGAATAATCATGATGATTTAATTTTTCTTTTGTAAATCATATCCTGTTGCTACATTCAAGTGGAGATGATGTGTTTGTCCTTAAGTCTTTATTATCCTTTCCTTCTCAAAATGTTCTTAAATAGTGTTATTTGACAAAACTGTGGTACATGTTCCTAACAAATTTCATTTTCTGAGCAGAATTGAAAGTAATTTTAATAGCACCACTTTAGGGGGTTACAATCTCCAAAGCCTTTTTTCTTATTTTTTTTCCCCACAGTAAGCTC